TTAACCCCTCAATTGAGGTTGAATTTAATTTGGCGCAAAATGGCAAGGGGGTGTGTTCCATCCGGCGAGTGTGCGTACGCGTATGTGTGTGCTTTCCGGCGGCTGCTCACTTCGTCGCTGAAAGTAATATCGCTGTTAACGCTAAAGGGCCATTGTCAAATTGTCTCTTATTAATTATGATGATGCGTGTGCCGCTTTTTCGAAGGGGTGGCGTTGTGTTGGATGTGGAATGCAAATTTCTGGGCCTGCTTCTCTGGGCCTGGCGTCTTTAACGTAATTTATTGCGTTCTGCTCACGGGCAGGCTTTCGGTCTACGGCTTATGGCTTATGGCACAGTGAAAAGTTAAGGCTGTCGAAGGCAGGGTGTTGCGAGGTCTACAGTCTATATCTGGTGGGACTTTCGAAATCCTTCTGTTTTTTGGCTGCCGGGGGGATGAGCGAGTGGGGCCCCGGAGATAAGGTGGGCAGAGTTCGGAGACCCGGAGTTCTCGGCTCCCGGTGAATTGATTTGGTACGAAACTATGCACGGGCACCCCTGCCCATGCAAAGTTTGCTTAATTTAGCTCAGACAATGGGGCTCCAGTGAACAATGGCGCACAATGCCATCAGCATCATCATCGGGGCACACACTCTTGTGGTGACCAAGCCCCACAATCGGTTTTTGGGGTCCCTTCGAATGCAATTCGACAGCTTAAACTCCCGGGGGAATTTCGAATTAAGCCGGCTAAATATTTCTTATGCTAAATTTTAACCAAAAAGGGGGAAACTTTATAGAAAGTGCTTTAAAACTCAAGTTCTTAAAGAGTGAGTTCAAAAATTATCCTTTAAATCCTTAAGTTTTATTTCTCAATTTTCTATATTGTTATAGAGGCTCAAAAAATTCTTAAATAATTTCTAAGTTAATCCCTAAAGCATTTTAAACCTTTGAAAAGGTAAAGGTATCTTTTAGTCTCAACCCTCTTCTCTTAAGAAGTTCCTAATTAGCCATTCATATTCACGACATGCACTTCAGAGGGCCAGCAACTATCTGTGACCAGTTTAAGCCAGCGGACACCTAAGGTGTTGCGGGATGCCACATCTCTCAGGCTCTCGGGTTCTCAGCCAGCTGACCCCCAAAGTGCCACAATTTATGGAGTCGCAGCAAGTCGCCTAGCGCCCGCTGATCGCGTCTTGCGAATCGCGTTCCATTCACTGGCGATATTTCACTGCTTTATTAAGTTAATTTCATATATCACAACTGCAGGCGCCAGTCGCTTGTAGGGCATTTGAGTGGAAGTGGATGTGGATGTGGATATTCCCGCACTCCTTTGGACCAGGACAAGCTGGGGTGCGCAGCTTGAGCTCGTTACTTTGATGCATTTGGGGCGCGCGTTTATTTGTGGACGTCACTTGGACAACAGCGGGGCTCCGCACTCAGGGAAAAAATATTGCGCTTCTTACTTGCAACTATAAGTTTTTAAATTTTATTTGAGATGTATTTACAGTTCAAATAATTTACTCAACGTGTTGTTACAAGGCAATTACATACTTGGAACCTATTTCGAGTGAAGTTATTTTAAAAACAAAATTTTGATGCAGCCCTTTGAAAAAAATCTTTATTTAATAATATATATAATCAATATATTTAAAAAAATATTTTTGCTCTTCAAATAACCTCTCTCTTTAAAATGGAATTTTAAGATAAAAACGTAAACTATTTTCTGAATAAAATAAATCTATAAATAAATTAATTTAATTTTAAAATAGTTTATTTTTGAGTATTTCAATAACAAGTTAGAATTTTCTGTTAGTGCATTCCTTGAAAGCTGATCAGGCTAACTTGTTCTGGCGTTTGCAACTGCACTAAAACAAGCAACTTGGGCTCGATTAAGATAGCTCACCAAATCAGCGGCCCGAACCTGGCCCAAATTGGCAACATCACTCAATTGATTTGCGACGACCCCAGTCCGTCCCCCCAGTAAAAAGCCGAATGTTTTTTATGCCGGCGACCGCCCATTAGCCACATGCGCGCCTGCGTGACACAACGGCATCAATCAAAGTTTCACCCGTTCCCATGACGTATGTGTTTGAGTGGGTGGTGGTGGGTTCGGGTGGGAGGCATTCGGTTTTCGCGGTTCCCGGGGCGACTTTTTACCATCTATGGCATAGGCGTGTATTGGATTTGTGTGTGCCCGTGCCGGCTGCGCGTAAAAAGACATTTTGACAAATTCAAGTAGCGCCATCTACACTCGACTTTAATAGCTTTTATACTGCTTGTCACGATATTTCATCAGTCAAAGGGGCCGTGGCCCAAACCACGGCCAACACAAGAATAAATGGATTGACACACATGGCAGTGGCAGTGGCATTCGAGGCATTCGTGGCAGCAGGAGGGGTATGGACATAAAAAACCTAGAGGAAGCGCGAATTTTATTCGATGTTATTTCCATTTGAAAATGAGTTATTGACACATGTAGCCACCCCCGAAAAAAAGGGACAACCCGCAACCGCAGGACCAGTTCCCGATCCCCAATCCCCCAATTCTCGATCCCCGGAAAACTTGGAAATATTGCGTGGGAGCGGCCGGGCAAAGAGCGCGCATAAATTTGGGCTGCCAAAAAAAAAAAGAAGAAAAAAGAAACCAGGGGGACTCCCCTTTGTTTTCCCCCCATTACACACTTGCGTTCAGATTGCGATTTGCCTGCTTTCTTTTCTCCGATTTGATTTATTTTATTTGCTTTGTGCGGCGCCGCAAGTGCTTCGCCCAATGGTTTATTAATATCGTAGGCGTTGCTAGTAACGTGCCGCTTTTGTTTGCCGATGTGATTCGCCAGCCCCGGATACGTTATTATATTTATATATTCCCACAACGGGGCCGGTGGAGAGCGGTTGATCAAATATCCCTCATTATGGTCGTTATAACTTATAAACACAAGTTATTCGCCTTGATGTGTGCGCTTTGCGGGGATATCTTGGCTAATTCGGAGACTTAGTAGTGGGTGAAGGTCCCTCGGAAATGCGATTGTGGTTAATATCTAATGACCTCAAATCGGCAGAAAGTTGGTTTTAATGGGTTACTAAATGACCATTGTTAGGGTAAATAAATACCAAATTATATGAATTTTTGGTTCGAATTTTACATGGTTTGTTTTCGAAAATGTTTAATAAAGTAAATAGAACAAGTTCAGAATTTAAATCAATTTAGGATTTGAATCTAGATACAACTAAAGCCAATAATACTTTTTGTAAACTTTAAATAAATTAAATTCAGATCTAATGGCTAACAAAAATTTGTATGTTCTTTACCTACCATGTGCTTAGATATAACAAACATTTTATAGCATCCTAAAAAGGGCATTGATAAAATAACGAGTGGATTTTAGTCATAAAACCAAGCTAAAACGTTTTTTTATTCAAAGTTTAAAGACCTTTTAAAGATCTGTTAGAAATCGATTCACACTGCTAGGCTGCAGTAGCTTAAATGAATGTCTTTAAATGTTGAAGTATTTACACAAGTACTGGCCCTTAAAGAGCCACGTTGCATTCTCCTCCAGACTAAATGGAGCAGAATGCCAGAACTAGTTAGATGACTGATTGATGAAGTAGATGAACGAACGAACAAGTGATGAAGCGGATTGCGTATACGTGTGTGTGCCACATTAGATATTCATACGCACCGTGGTCGAGCTATGGATGTGGCCACCAAGAATGGATGTATTGCAGGATGGGTGCTTGGGGCGATGAGACGAATGTCCTGGGGCCGCCCAGCCGCTGTTGCTGTCTGATAAATCACATATTTTCGCTGATCAAATCAATCTAATTGACATCACTCAAAATGATGGCGGAAAAGTTTCCACATTCATTTTCGCATTCGCAACAGAGAAAAAATGCGAATAAATGAGTTCCACCCCCACGAAAACGACCCGGGCTCTGTTTTGGTTTAATGGTGGCTCTGTTTTGCTCTTGTGGTGCGTTCCCGTTCGGCAGAATTCAGCAGCCATCTCCACACATCCCCCCAGTTGCCCCTCGTTTCACCATTTCCCAGTTGCCTATGCGGTAAAGCAGCGTGATTTATTTTCATTCCGATGGCAACGCCACCCAAATTCGACGCTCCGTCATCCTGACATTCGAATTGAAATGCAAATTCTGACGAATGTGCGCTGGTTTTGCGCACATGCCCGGACCGAGTGGAGCGGTACAAGGACATGGGTGGAGGTGGGGGATGAGGTATAGAAAAAGGGGAGGACGACGGATTGACTGACGAATGACTCCCGGCAGCCAGCGGCGACAGTAGGCGGTAAATGAGCGAGCTATCCATGTGTGTTACACTCTGGAATCAGGAATACCACACTCGTATATACACCATGCATCAATGTACTCCGCGCACACATGTGCCGAACCCATCCACATAGATATGGATTTGGATTTGGATGAAGATGTGGACGTAACTGGGGATGTGGCATGGCATATGGGTATACCTTCGCATGTGCGTATCATTTCACATGCATCCCACGCCATTTGAATTGAATAGCATCTCATTTACTCTCGCATCATTATTTTTTATTCGAGTACCTAAGATGCTTGAGGACGGAATCCCGGTTGCCAAGCCGTGTCCAATCGATTACTGGAGTGTGGTGTTGCCTTTAAGCGGAATATATCGGATGAGTTATCACTTCAAGTGGATTTATTTGAGCAAACAAAGGTTGAGATTTCTAGCTAATAGCCTTAGAGGATTATTTAAAACTCTTCATGTAATATCAATATATTTGTATAGCTTAAATATATCAATAGATTTATAATTTTAATTCTCTTAAAGATTTCTGTGAGCCTTAAATTAATTTAAAACCAGCCAAAGTTATCCCAAAATGACTGCCCAAAAGGCATTCCTTATTACTTGCCTAAAAGTGCCTAACTGTAGGAGCCAACACTGTCTACTGCCCCCTCCTTTTAGCCCCACTTATTAATGCATGATACATAGGCTATGTACTGGAAACTACGTTACATACATGGCAAGTACTCACCCTCAAACTCCTGCACTTTGTCCATCCTCCGCTTCTAATGAAAGCTGCCGGTTTCGTCGGTTAATTCAACATCTGCAAAATGCAAGGATGTACATATTTTTAAAACAATGTCGGGTACCGAGATAGTGGGGCGGGTGGGCCCTACTTAAAGCCGACATCATCCGCATGGAAAGGAGCCCGTCCATCAGCCAGGACGTATGTAGTACGTGGTGTCGGCCAGCATGTAAATGCTGCTTACAGGCCCAGACAATATTAACAATTCCCCGCAACTTGGCCGACACTGTATTCGAAGGGTCCCGGAGTGTCGGTGTGTGTGCTCGGGTCTGAGCGGACATTATATGCACATAAAGTGCCCTGCTCCTTCAACTGCAAGCGTCCTGCGGCCCTCGTCCTTCACGACACTCGTGGCAACCATGTTTGTGTTTTTCTCCCCGCCATAGTCGCTGCTCCTTGGCCACGTTAACAACTGTATCCCTTATGGGCGCTCTCGTTTGATGTAGACGAGGATGTCCTTCGTGCCCTGTAGGAAATGCCGGCAGGCCGTGTCCTGCCATCGTCCTAAAAGTATGCTGCAATGTTTTTTCGTTTTTAGCGAAATTCTGGCAAGATCGTAGGGGTAGAAAATTGATGAACATTCAGGGTTGAAATGGTACTTTTAAGTTGTTTAACTGTTTGAGATCTTGTATTATAATAAAATTAATTAATGAATAAATAGTAATTATTATTGTCTAAAAAACAGTATAGTATAACGTCCCTTTACATTGTAAAATAATTTTTGAATTATAAATGCGTCAATATTCTTTTTTTTAAATATTTCAAAAATAATAATAAATGTTTGTTTGTTTTAATTTCAGTACTGAAAATATTAAATATGCGTTAATATTTTGTTTCTTATTCTTTGTTTACTTCTTAGATTAAAAATTTTGAATATTTAAAAAAAAATAATAAAAGTTTGTTTGCTTTAATTTCAGTACTGAACATATTCATTATTTCGTATATTTTAGTGTTTTCTTGCTAAACTAGTGAAATAAAAAATTAACATTTTGGAGAAATTAATAACTAAAGTTCATCTCTGAAATTCATAAAAAAATCTGCACTTCTTCAGTATATATACCGTCCACATATGAACAATCATGTGTAACTAACACTCATGTGGATGTGCCCCGTTTGTGTTGTTCTTGGACTGTCAGTGACGTCGTCGTCGTCGTCGTCGTTGTTGTTGTCAGTGTCGGTCTCGGCGGTCCAGTCGCTGGCGGAGGCAAAGTTGTTCAAGTGGCAGCTTAATTCGCATAAAATGAAAACACGCTGTCTACATTGTTCCTACAACTTTTGGAGTTTTTTATGGCACTTAAAATGGCTGCTAGACAAAGGCTTAACAAACGGCTACTGCAGGATCTACGGCTCCTGCTCTCTTTATTACGTCTGTGCTGGCCTCGTATGTGCTGCTTTCATTTTGGCCAGCTTGAAGACAATAATGGCGTATCTAACAGGCTTATTAAAGGTGGTCTATTCACATTGAAAATGCAATCTCATTGTCTAAGAAAAAAAGAAACCAGCTGGAAACCAGTGGGACTCTGGCTGATTCGCTACGTGGATATGGATGTGACCTCTTTTAAAAGTGTCGCCCCCACAACAATACCACAGCCCGAAAATCAATAAATGCAAATTCATTTTTATTGTTAACATTTAAATAAAAGGTAGGACTTCATGGGCAGTATACAATGTAAAAAGCCGGGGAATGCCACCTCCGATAAACCAACATCAATAAAAGCACTCACATTTTTTTATAAATTCACTCTTCTTCATCCGCAAGCGCCAGACCTTTGCGGGCTCCATTTCGCCCAGTCCACCTGGCACACGGACATCAGACATCAGAGTGTTAAACGGAAAGTCCGCAAATAATCGACTACGGTTATTTCGATTTTTAAAGCAGCAAATTTAGGGAATTTAAAGGCTAATTTTCAGTTAATGCAAGACGTGATTATTGTGTAAATCCCATAACGCTCCTTTAAACGATTTTTTACTTCATCTATGAAAATAAATGTAAATCATAAATTGCTATTGGTATCCTAAAAATAAATAGCTGATTTTTAAAAATAAAAAATATATCAACTTTCTATTTATGCTTCCCCAATTTCTTAAAATCATTAATTTCCTTAAGTGAAAATAAATTAATGAATTTAAAAAGAAAATTATCGTTAAGAAGTAAAAAGTTCTACTTTAAAATAAATTAAATAATAAAATATATTATAAAGGGATAATAGCAAAAATACGAAAAAATCCTGAAATCCAAAGGTCCAACTCCAATTTGCCATCAATCGCTTGGTGTTTTATTATTTTTACGTTTCAAGAAGTATATCAAATTTAAACCTCCTTTCAACTTTTAAATGTTTAATGGCAAATAAATTATCACCCCTATGAGGAGCTAGGGATGATAATAAAGACATTATATAAGAATTTTTGTAGAAAACATTTCGTTAACTTCCTGCAAGGAGGCTGGTATTTTTTAATAACAGCCAAGGGGTTGCCACACAAAGCGTGCCAAGCGAATGAACAGCTTAATCGCCAGCACGAACGCTAAACACTCACTGTGCCGGTGGCTCCCGTTAAAAGCGACCCCTAAAAGCCATAAACTAAACCTGTTTCCCCAGCTGATAGTTGGTCTTTTCATAGCTGGACGGTTTTAGTTGGACTCAACAATTGTCCAATTTTTGATTTCTGAATGACAAGAAAATGGAAAATAAAGGGTTGTCATTATTTTTCCTTTATTCAAACATTTTTATTTTGGTTTTCAGAAAATAAATTATGGAAACAAAATATTCAGGGAGGAGGCTGTACTCATTAGTTGTATTTCAAGTAGGTTGTTAATCAAATTATGGTATTAATCAAAAACCAGAAAAGGCGTTTCTTAAGAAAGGAACAAATTAATCATAGAAATAATTATAACAATAACCAGACCCAGTGATTTTGCATTGCCCCATTCAAAACAAATTCCACTTTTTATGGTGAGAATGGGTTGAAAGCATTAATAAGTTATGTTTGTTTAGAAAAAATTAGCAATCTTTCGCAATAATTTACACACTTAACAAGGTTTCCCGAAGAAATGTGCGTGCAGTGCCGCTCTTTATTACAATAAAAATTCATTTCGCCGAGCAGTATTCATATCGCAGACGTTGAATTCAGTCTACCATCAAATGAAACAAATTCTACTTTAGTCGAACGCGAGAAATAGTTGCATGCCAACAAAGTAGACTCGTTCCTAGACTGTGTTATGAATATTCAAGTCGTGGTCCTATTTTCGCTCCGAAAAGTGTGGAAACTGACCCAAAACCGAAACCCGGGAGCGTGTCAAGTGGGTGTTTAGAAAATATAGGTATTTCGTAACCCCAATATATTCTCTATTTTTGGAACAATCAATCGGGTATGCAAGGTATTGCGATTCCCACAGCCGAAAGCAGGCAACGACCCTTCGTGTAGGTCCAACTTCTTGCTCCACTGCACCCAAGTGCAATCCGGTTGCATGTGGCCAACTGGCCGTCGCCGATCTACGGTGTTGCTTTTGCTGTTTCTGTTGCAGTTGCAGTTTAGCGGTTATATTCTGCATAAATGAATATGTAATTTATTTTATTATGGTGCAAATTGCGAATTGAATTGTTTTTAATTATTCCATACTTCGCTGGCAACCGCCAATTTTTCCTAACCGCACACCAAGTCTAGCCAGTCGGTTAGTTACGAGCGTATGAGCACGAACAATTCGTACTTATTCGCGATCGGAAACAAAATACTTTTGGACACACAAAGACTAAACAAAACTGTTAATTAATTTGGCTTTAGTAGCTGCTATTAAAGGCTTAGGCAGGAAAGAGTGAGAAGATTTAAATATAATTGTTGCATGTCGGCTTTTTGACTTTAATTATAGTGTTTAAGACGAAAGTAATGCAAATTCGGAGATTAATATAAAATTCTTGGATTTATTTATTCCAATTAAAATTAATGAGACAAAAATAAATTGCTAAAAAATTGAATTTAATGTATATTTTATACATTTGTGGCAATTATTTTTGGAAAGTTGAAGTGAAATAAGAGTACCAGTAGTCGAAATTAAATAGATTTAAAACTAATTATATGAATTTATTACTGTAATTATAATGTTCCGGCTTAAAAGATTGATTGAGCTTAAATAAGCTTAAAAATATCAAAATAATATTTGACCTTAATATTTTCTTGATTATTTCATTATGATCATAGTAGCAACCCCAATCTGACCGCCTATCCTAATTAAAGCCCCCACCAAACTATAATAGCAGATAAATCATAACACTTGGGAATGTGACCTGTGACATGTGCACTTAACACATACTTTAGTTTAATACATTTTATGGTCGTACTCGGACCTTCAAAGCAGCACAGCAGCAGTATGCAAATTATGCTTGCGTTTCGTGTGCGCCTCAGAGGATATTACTTCGTTCTCGACTGGTTCTATACCTTTTGGCCATAACAAGAGCGAGTGTGCTGCTACCTGGCCAAAAGCCGGCTGCGGCTTTCTTGAACTAATTAAAAATTCCAGCGCCGCAATTGCGAAATTGGCCTCTTATCGGTTGTATCATCGACGCCACGAACGCTTAAACATGATGCGCTGATGAATAGCTGCCTAGGCTAAGGGTGAACCACATATATAAGCACGTTTTGAGACGGGATATGTGGATGGGATAGGTGGGGAAAATGGAAAAGCATATTTATGAATACGATTATTTTGCACATGATAATTTTTTGTTTCTCTCGCTGTGCAGGTTTATTTTGCAATGTCGATGGTGCCCGCAAAAGCGACGGAGGCGTTTTGCGAAACAATTTCTGTTTATGGTTCCAGACACGCGACGAACATAGTTGCGTGGCTTTTCATCATACGAATAAAAAATATAAATAACAAGCGCTGGAGAAAACTCTTAGGCGCTGCGCCAGGTATTTTTTAAACGCATTGCATGGCATTTCTTAGCCCGCCAAGGAAAATAATGGAAGCATATGCCACAGTCCGATGGTCCATCACCTTTGATGCGAAAAAGCCCCTTTTGTGAGCTATATAGTTTTTTTGGGGTTTAAGGACAAGGTTTAACTTTTAAAAAATGAGGAAACCAGTTAAATCAATATGCAATTTCTTATAATAACAATTATTTCTACCTAAATATTTATATTTACAAAAACACCTAATTTTAAAATACAGTTTTTTGATTTATTATATTCTTTAAATTCATTGGTCACGATTTGATAAATCTCAAATATTATTTAACATATGCAACTGCCACTTTAACTCTCCAATAAATTGATAAGGGTAATTATAGCAATGTCAGCACTTAAATTATATCAACTGAGGTATTTATTCTGTTCTATCTGAACTTTCGTCTGATTGAAAGTTGATTTTGTCCAGTCACGACTCGTCGAATTTAATTTAATCTAACAGGAGTTATCAAAGTTCACAAGTCCGCAGAGGTGATTAATTTAAATGTTTTTTTTCTGTTATATTTTCACTTATAATTTCAACGATAAAA